CTATTCAACGCTTCAAACGACACCTCAAATCGAGTTCTAAAACTCAAGTTATGGCACTTTGAAAATCTTATTGTTGTCCATCGCCTAAAGCTTTGCCCGACGACGTGGGAGCGACAACCCACCAATTCTTCTCTGGCCTCCATTGCCCAGCGACGCATCTTACTCGCCTGGTGACACACCTCTCACTCTTGCATCGCTTGACGATGACGCGAGCGACACACTCCAGTAACTCCACTCTTTCGCCCATTCCTTCGCTTTCAATCTCGCCCGGCGACGACCAAGCGACATCATCATCGTCCAGCGACGACCAAGCGACATCATCATCGTCCAGCGACGACCAAGCGACATCATCATCGTCCAATGACACCTCCTATCGCTCAGCGACACACACCACTATGTGATTCCCTTCTGCGATCTCTACACTACAGTTGTCTGATTTTTGCACGATTTCACACCAATACAGACCCAAAACTCATCTAAATCATCATGGTTTCACAACATCACAAAAGTACATCCTAGTAAACATCATATACATCATTCCTCATCACTATAACATCAATTTATCACTAATTTCATCAAATCATCATGATACCAAATTCAACAAAAACCCAACACAACCTACAATTATCTAAACTTTATATAGATTATAATAACAATGATAAACACCCCTTACCTTATTATAGTAACAAGTTTATTCCTCTTGGTGTTCTATCACGAATCTTTTTTTCCTAACTCTCTCTTCTTTTCACCGCTTCCTCCAAATCTTACGATTGCACAGAATGATCATTTCAAAACTCCCAAACCTTCCTTATATCAAACTTACCCCTTAGACCCCTAATATGATCTTCCATTATTGTCTCACTTATTCTTCTCAAACGACTACTTTGCCCTATCATCTCTTAATATTAATATTACTCTATTTTACTAATTAAAATAATTCAAACTAATCATTTTAATTATCTAAAATCACTAAATATCTCATTTATCTCTTAATTCCCACTATACTATCCAACATCACATCGTACTTCATATCAAACATCACAATTACTCATCACAGCTAACTAAATAATTATATAAATAATCTAATTAATTTGGAGTGTTATAAACAACACAGAGAAATGACTCAACATCTCAACTAAGTAAAAAATAACCAAGTCAAACGATCAAAGTCAAGAGACCAAAATAAATCGAATCGAAATCTACAAAATAAATCGGTCAACAAAGTTTATGCGTCTATACGTATTCGAGAGCTAAATTGAAATTAACTCTGAAAACGTATTGCAAATATACAAAACAAACAACACTACTAGAATTTATTTAAAATACCACAAAACCAAAATATTAGAAAGGGGGTGTCAACATGAAAGGGTTTAGAAAGAAACCCAATGCCAAAAGTCCATGTAGTGCGATCCGGTTTGCTCAGTGATACAAGTTTAGACGGAAGGAGTTAAGCGTGAAACCGAAGGGTAGCAGGTGGTAGTAGCACAAGTATGAAGGGGAAATTGGATTTGTAACAGAGACAGATGGATAACGAAAATGAACAGAGGGGTAAATGAACAGAGGGGCATGGAGAAAGCGGAATTGAGAGAAGGATAAGGGCGGTGAGAAGGTTAGGTGGATGGTTTTTGAAGTTGTGGGTTGAAGAATTGGAAGACGGTGAGGGGTAGTTTGAACGTAACAGAGGGAATTGGAATCGAGAAGGGTAGATGGAAGTAGTTGATGAAGATGATGAACAAGGAGACTGGTTTACGTTTTAATATGATGCCCTCTCCCAAATCAATATTCAATACAACTCTAATTATTTATATATAAAACCAATTAGGTTTTAATATTTAAAAATATTTTTGTTTTAATTTTTCTCAATAAAAAAAGGAGATTCAAAATAATCAAAAGCCATAAAATATACACACATAATTAATTGAAAAATGAAATGGACAAATTAAAATAAATTACGTGTCCCAATGATTTATAAAAGTATCTCAAATGGTTAAAATTTAAATAAAATGAGAATAAAAATTCCAGACCGAACAAATGTTGACGATTAAGAACGAGACTGCAAAATGTATCAAAAAAATAAAGCGAACATACTATCATAGTCTACACGAAATTTAGATTTATAAAACAGTCAATAAAAGGTGAAAATTTCAAATATTTTCTCGCTATTTTTTTGCAGTGTCGAATCGCTTTTAACGATCTGTCTGCAGAATCGAAATATCACTATTATTGACATATAATCAGGTTAATGTGATGCAAGAAGCGAGTAAAGAGATAAAAATGCATGAAGTAAAATATAAGATATTTTCAACTCTAAAACTATACAAATGTCGGTTTAAATCGACTTTTGATCAACTGAAATACGAGTAATGATGCAAATGCGGTGAATGAAGATGTTTATTGAAGATTGTGAGCAGATAAAATGAATATGATATGCTAATGCGACTGGAAAAAAATTAGGGGCAAAATTTGAAGAGCAACAATACCGATCCTTGAAACTCTTCACGATCTCTGAGTAAACTTCGAACATCTTATGTCTTAAGAGAAATCAAACCTTAACTCATGGTTGAATCAACAAACATGCGTCGGGTTTTAAAGAGACGTAAAAATAATGTCAAGGTCGACACACTCTTCTTATACTCACATTATCACTGAAATACTTTGACGTAATCCCATCTCATTGGGTGCAGGTGTGAATGAGTTATTTTCAAGTTATTTATTACACTTACCTCTAAGTAATTAAAAAAAAAGTTGAAAACATATCAAAGAATACAAGCACTCATGAAGAGGGATGACACACCCATCATACTTGTTATGTATCCTCTAATTCCCTTCGGAGGAAAACACCCTCAGTCTAAGGGAGGACCCACATCAACGAAGACATGATTCAGACCACCCTTGCCAGCATAACAAGAGACGCTATCTAATATCTCTTGATCGACCCACTCAACCAAGTTATCTTCTATCGCATTTCGGGTTCTTGGGCAAAAGTTACCCATTTAAAACTCCTATCGATGTATAAAGATAAAAGACCGCAAGTAGAAGCACATAGATGGTATAAATTTAGTTTTCCGTCTCTGTCAAAAGTTATATATGATAAAGGATTTCATAAGGATCAGAAACCTTAGCATCTTCCTAGAGTAGATAGCTTCACCCAACGTCCTACCATTGATGGTGAGTTTTTCTTTTAAAATCCCTTCTCCAAAAACCCTAGCAGGTCAAATAGATGTATAAAGAAAGAAAGGTTTTAAGGTGTTACCTTAAAAGAGACTCTAAAAGAGGCAGCACTAATGGGTTTAAGCAATAAGCAGTCGAAGGATGTTAATGAAGATAGAAGTTGTAAATATAAAATAATAGTTCTCTAAATCCACGAGGCAATTGTATGATCCACGATAAAAGATATTGGAAAGCACGGACCGCACCACCAACAATTAAGATCTTACTTCAGATTGATCATAATACTCGAATATTATGTACAATAAGGCATCATTGCTGCCAAGCATAGGGTCACACGCCAAGGTTCCCTTATTAAATATTGTCAATCACAAGGAAGATATTTAATGCTTGTGTTTCCAATGTTAATGATGTCTCATCGAAGTTCTTCCGCTTCCTTCTGTTGAAATTAGGATTAAAAAAATGCACGACAAATCCTCATTCTACAAGTATGAAAAAAGACTTGGGATGCATTTGTTCTGGACCCCTCGCTAAGCCCACAACAAAAGGACCAATAGCAAGCATCACACAGAAAGACGCTAAAAACAGGTGAATCTTCACCCAAATGAAGACATGTGTGACCCACAACACACTTTCTGATCTTACCGGATCAAAAATGGACTGTCACAGCTAGCTCGGGAAGGAGTTGAATGAGATGGAGGGATACCTGCAAGACACTCTGATGGCAAAGTAAATTGCAGAATGAGCAAGCAAGTATGAGTTCAGAGAGATGAATTGAATATCTGACCCTCTTAGGAGATAGGGTATTTATAGCCTCCAGCGCTGGGCCAAAGTTCCCACTCTTGGGCCACGTTGAGGCCCAATAACAGAAACTGTCAGGACTTACGTGTGTATAGAGTCCAGCAAGTGGACTCCCCCCTGTCAACTGCTCCGCGAGAATAGGGTTGAACCCGTGATTTCCGGAGGACAGTTTAAGATGGCTGTCGTGAGATCGTGGGTCACGTCCTCCAACGGTCGGGTGGAGAGTTGCTCAACGGTCCCTAACTTGGGTTGTCTTTGGGCTTTCCGTTCGAAGAGTAAGTGTAGGCCCAATCCATATCACTTTCCATTGTTGGATCTAATCAAATGGTCGTCCTTATAAGGTGTTGGATCTCATAGAAATGGTTTTAATCGTTCGTCTTATATAAAACTCAACATGTGTCATTTCAAACATTCATTCATTCACTAACTTTATCGTTGAAGTCTTAACATTGTAGATCTACCTCTTCAATATCGAAAACTACATCCAAACTCAAATCCACTTGATCTTCACCTATCTCGGTTCCATACGGAATATATTTAAATCAAATGCGTTTTTTCTTATATTTGAAATGAGATGATGTATAAAGTAATAATAGTGCAATTAATATTATTGAACCTCACACGTAAGAAATGTCTTTTTTTTTCAAGAAGAAATAAACGTATAGTTTGAGGTTCCTACACCAACAAACTTTCATATTCTATATAAGAATGTTAGGAGAGAAGTGTAGGAAAGGGCTCATTGTTATTGTTGCACAGTCAAAACCCTTCCTTCAATGTTTACAAGAGAAAGCTAGCTATGAGTATTAATTAAGAAATCACTTGACAGTGCAAATTAACTAACAAGTGTACTTGTAGAATTAAAGGGATCAAAATACTTATCAAGTGCTATAAATTTAATTTGAATATATTAGCGATAGAATTAGATGTTTAGTTAGGCAATACATATATAGATATCAATGGCTTTTTCTATATGATTCCCAACTCACTTGACTTTTTTCTTCTATTGGTTCTTTGATTGCAACAAACCACTTTCAATCATTTTCAAGTCCAAGAAAGGAAGCCATCTTCTTGAGCTCCACATCCAAAAGGGTATCTAGAGGATCAAATTTCTCTGATAAAAGATGAAAATGATCAGAAGGTGATGATGAGTTATGAGTACTATTGGTTGAAACTACCTTCTTGTGATCTTCTTCTATTTGTGGAATCTCTGAGTTGGTTTTGGACTCATCATCACAAGCCAACAAATTGTCTTGATGATCATTGTCGATGAGGAAATCGGGGATTGAGGTTTCATCACTTTCTTGATCACACTCACTTCCATTGCTATTCTCCAAAAATTTGTTGTGATGATGAACAATCTTCAATCTCCTTGGCCTTGGAGCTTCTGGTGCTACATGTCCATATTTGTTATGATTGTTTTGAAGTGAGACAGATAATGATGATGATGTAGGTTGTTTTTGTAACTTCTTTGATAGATTCGTATTCCAATAATTCTTGATTTCATTGTCGGTTCGTCCGGGTAATCTCTTAGCAATCAAAGACCATCTATGTACATAACAAATTCATAATTGTAGTCGTTCATTTTAGCAAAGAAAAATAAACTATGATAATTCAATTTTCTGACTCGAACAATCATTGGTCAGATTTTACTTATCTATCGGGTTAAAATTTCAAATATTGAAAGCACACGTCTGTATAATCTTAACTATATGAAGCTAGCATTTTGAATAATATTAAGAGAATTTAGTGCTGATTAGTAGAATAAGTTGATGAAAAATTATCATTCAAATAAAATCACCTGTTACCAAGAAGACGATGAAGCCTTACGATCATATCCTCTTCATCTGCAGAGATGTCGCCTCTCTTTATACCTGGTTTTAGATAATTCAACCATCTTTGTCTACAACTTTTTCCACATCGCTTTAAACCTATCATAAAACCAAAGAGATTAGTCTTATGAAAACACATTGTTAGAAAAAGATGAAGAAGCATGCAAATTAGTAGGCACATATATACCGGCATTTTGTGCAACCTTTTGCCATTTTCCTTCTCCATGAATGGCAACATATTTAGAAAGAATATCATCTTCTTCACGAGACCAAGCACCTTTATTAATCTCCTTAGGAATTCTACCCATGTTTTTTCTTCTTCTTCTTCACACAGAAAACAACTCACTGTGCCACTCATGAAAACAATGACTATATATAAATGCATTTAGTTGAATAGCTTAGAAAAATATACGTACTTTCCATGGATCCATAGAGTTGTTAGGTGAAAAAGAAACGGGACAACTATGTTATGAGAGTCATTAATTAATATAATAAAATAAAATGACAAAAATGGAAAACAAGACAAGAAAACATGCAAAGCTTTAACTAATATTTTTGGGTGTGAGAGTGTTGCGTATCATACTCCTCGTACGTCGACATCATAAGGGAAGGGGACCAACCAACAACTGATTGTGTTTTGCCTATGTTGATTTATATTTCCTCCCACATGCATTCAAAACATTTCTTATGGGTTTTGTGACTTGTATTCTAAGACCAAAAAAAAACTACGGAAGAGTTCAGTTCAAAACTTTTTCTTTTAAGGAAATCTAAAGTTTTTCATCATGATAGTTTTAGTTCATCATATTATTTTTGGTTTGAGTAGAACTGATTTTGTCGAATAAAAATTAATTCAAATTTGTAACGCATGGATTATAAACGTGATGTAGATGTATTAAAATATACAAATCATTTTCCATAACAAAACATATACTAAAGTAGTATATTTGACAAATAAATTATGGATTTTAACTAGTATATTAGACAATTAAATTATGGATCGATTCCTACAATTTTGATTACCAGAATGTTGTTTCACCGCCATAATTCTTCACATACGTTTTTATATAGTTTTTACTTGAAAGTAGTTTTAAAAAATATAAGAATAAATAAAGTCTCTTCTATTGCGTGATTATTTTTTGAAAGCAGTTGAGTCAGATTATTACTACACTTCTCTATTTTTCTCTTACAGCATTCACCCAGGAAATTGTTTACATCAATGATCAAACACAAAACATGAAAGAATTTTATATTAATTATCGAGCAAAATGTCGTAAAAGATTTACCAATTCACAAATAATACTAGTCAATTTATATATACTAGTAATTACATACGGCATGTCAGTCACTTTCCACTCTATTCAAAACTGAAAAACATCACAACAGTTTTTCAAGTCCACCATAAATAGAGAGCAAGTATACAAAGAAATTTGAATAACCAAATGAAAATTAATCGGTGAAAATTAATTACTATTAAGTGGGCAAGGAAGGGAGTCAATTACTGGGATCCTTTAACAACTAAATCATATCTAAATAGAAAATATTTACAATTTTTCTCAAATTCTAATAAATTACAGCAACCAATTTCTTCATTCTGTTTCAGACCTGAAGCAAAAAAGAGGGAAGAAATACATCCAGTAAATTTTTGTGTCATCTAAATATATATACTAGTTAATAGTGAAGGGCATAATAGTTTTCATTAGCTCATAAATTCAAAACTTTGCCACCATTGTATACCAAAAAAGAATAAATATATATGCTACTCTTTCGCATTTAAACTGCAATAACCATGACTTTTGCAATCGAATTGAGAAAGAGGAATCCAGATTACAATAATTATACATCCTTTGAACTATATTGACTTGTTGGAAACAGTAAGCAAAAATAAATAGATAACTTTGAAACTGAATGAACCAAAGAAAACATCTTACCAGCAGCATACAGGCAGTGAAACCTAGAAGAACGAAGTCCAGAAATAGAGGTTTACTAAAATCTTGTCATCTGCTGTAGCATTTGAGAACCAGTTGAATGCGAAACCAACTGGTCGGAACTCAAGGGTTTTATTAGATGATTGGAAACTACAGGGTTAGGATGTCCCTGTCTGCCGATATCTTTCGAATTGTTAATAGTTGGTTGGGGGCGTGAAGACGATTCCATCAGTGTGCGAACCTGATAATAGAATAGTTAGCAAAAAAAGGAAAGAACATGTCAGTTATATTATTGTCCAATTGAAGAAGTATACAGATCAATCAAACAGATGAATCCTTCAAACTTACCGCATCTAGCCGCCTTTTGTGAAGGTCATTGGAGAGCTGCAAGTTTAAAGCAAAGCACAAATCAAATTATTATCATATAATTATATTTACATTGATTTTCTTACTTAGGGTAAACAACCACAAAAGGGAAAGAGAAAAACTATTTGGTGCTTACAGGTCTATTCTGGCCCTTCTTCTCCTCACTTGAATACCCTGGAATTGTCAAATCCCAATTTCTCTCTGAATAATGACACCGGAAACAAGTAAATCAACAAAGCTGGGTTGTTAGCTCTTATTAAATATAATCCATTCAAGCATTTAAATTGTATATTTCACCCAAGATATCAGGGAAATCAATGGTCGTTCATGCATTAGATAAGTTTCAAAGAAGAGCACAATAGAGCTTACATTTGATACATCAATATTAGACATGACAACATAAACCAGTACATTACAACGAAACAATTATCAGTGGTTTGCTGCACAAATAGTATATTGCACAAGTTTACCTATCAAATCCATCTTTTATACATCCAACAATGGGAGCACTTAACCAGGACTTTTGAGAGGTGAGATTACACTTATTTGGTTTTTATGCACGTCAATATTTAAACTTCGAAACCTAGCAACATAATTCTATTTTTGGTAATAATTAATAACCAAGTGTAAATCTGTAAGAGCACATTAATATGATATATGTTATTTAATACATGTTGCTAAATAAATTACTCATAACTATTAACTAGCATTGTTTTTCTGCAAGTATATGAATGATTAAAGAAAATAAGGGTAAAAAATAAAGACTTCATCACTCCATTAAATGAAAAGCGCAGAGCTCTAATAGATCTAGGCCAACAACAAGAACTTCATCACTCCATTAAATGAAAAGCTAAAGATCAAACAAGAAACATAAACATGGGATACAAATAGAGAACTATCATGCATAATGTTAGACATAGATACAAGAAATCTTTGCATGAGTCAAAAACATTCAGATCAAGAATGCAGTGCAGTTTTAACCACAAGAGCACTAGTATATAATCTAAAACCAATAAGATTCAGAAAATGTTATTTCCTTTCTATACTAATTAGAATAGACAGTAGTACACTATTAGTAAATTTGTGAAAGATGTAAATAAAAATTTCTTATCACATTCTTCTTTAGGGGAGTGGTTAAAACTCAGAAATAAGCAACACTAACAACATACCTAGGTGTAGCAATAAATCCTTGGACTCCAAAGTTGATGATTTTCTATGTTTTGCCAAAACGCAACCATGTGTAGTTGCCTGCGTATAAGAACAAGGTAAGTTTTTACACTCTAAGCTAAAAACAAAATCATCTATGGATTTTCCAAAGATTTTCAACATCAAAATACAGATATAGAATAGAAGACACACACACTAACTAACACAGATTTCTCAAATGAAAATTAAATGCACATGCTTAACAACCTAGCCTTAAACCACTAAACAACACTTTTTACTTATTAGCTAGCTCTAACTGTTAGGAGGGGGGTCGTCATCATGCATGACATTGCCCACTCTAATCCCAATAGGGATCATCCAAGATGCCAAAAGAAGAAGAAAAAAAGTCATGTGCTAACAACTTTGAATGTAGTGAAAATTTGCATTAATTAATAATTGAAGATACATGGCATCCTTTTTGGCATGCACACATCTATTACAATAAGGGGGAAAAGGTAAGCATGTTGGATTACTACTTACAGTATCAATGAAGTCATCAGCAAGCTCTAAAAGAAGATCTATAACGGAAGGGTCCAGCTTACCTTGGGGATCCACCTGTTGTATAGACGATTAAATTCAAAATATAGCCATAGCCATTAAATATATACTTAGAGAAAAAACTAATCAAGTTTAAAGAAAACCTGTGCAACTAAATCCTGTATCTTTCTCTTTCCAAGTACTTGGTTTGTTGCTGCTTCAGTTCCTTGGCTTGAACTTCCACCAGGTGTAGTCGTACCAGATGCAGTAGCATCTGGCTGTGATCCTGTTAAACTTAGTGTTTTTTGGCCTGAAGGTCCTGGCATCCTCGGAGACTGCTGCTGTTGCTGTTGATGAACAGATGCTTGTAGTTGAGATTGTTGTTGTTGTTGCTGCTGTAGAAGTTGTTGCTGCTGCTGCTGCTGGGAGGATGTATGCTGCTGTTGCTGTTGATGAAGCTGAGGCTGGCCCATGGATTTATGCTGCATCAACTGGGACAATTGCTGTTGGCTTAGGGTTATAGAGTTTTGTTGCAGTTGAGCAGATGAAGCAAGCTGCTGCTGCCTCTGATGTTGTTGAAGACGCAATGGGGAGGCAGGGCCAGACATTGCTGGGATTTGCTTCAGCCACTGATTCTGTGTTAAAGAGTTATGCATCATGGCAGGCTGTCCATTCTGAGACAAACCAGACAGCTGAGAATTCATAAAAGCAAGGGATGATGACCTTGGTAAACCTTGAACCTGTAGCCGACAGCACAGTCAATGTTCAAATACGACTCAATTCATTTCGAAAAGTAGTATATATATTTACATGCATTTGGAAACTTCATTAATTTATTACAATATACCACATTGCAAAGTATACAAATCTTCAAGTGATAGTGAAAAACTATAAATAAGCCTCCCAGTGAAACTTTTCCTTTTTCTGCAACTTCCAATATTACACCGCAACGAATTTTGAAATTTTGAACACTTCATTGTTGAGTTTAGGACATGGCCAATAAAATGGAGTTTTAAACGTCCATTTTATGCGCTTTGTAAATTTGTACAAAATTCATTATAATGTTTCCATAATTTGATAATAGGGATTAAAAAATATATGATGACGGTGTTAAGAATCACAAATACCTAAAACAATTATCAATAATTTTGATTGCATTAAAAAGGATCAAGTCTTGCCAGTGTTATCAAATTCCGGCGGATATAATAGACGGTTTTTGGGCTCGCCGCAATGGTAAATATCGGCCGCTATTGCGGGTTTTATAATCCGCAATAACGGCGCCGCACAGCGGCTGGTATGGAAGGATTTTGGCTCTCCACCATCGACAACACTGTCTTGCACATATTCATCTATCTGGCGAGAGAAATGCAGTTATTAAATAAGAGAGGGAAGTGAAATTAAATTAGGCTTCTGTTAGGAGAGGAAGTGTAACTTATTCTAATTGTTTTCATCCTAACCTCAAAAAGATAAAAACACAGTTTAGCTTTTGAACTAGATATGCTAGTAGACAAACATATTTAACTACTTTATGGCTGACAGTATTCTGCTCCTCTTGCCTTCATAAACCACTGATATACTTGGAAAAAATTAAAAAATTTACATTATATGAAATGTCTATTAACTAACCCAAGCTGTCGACCTATAGGATTGCCATCAAAAAGAAAATAAAGTGTGAATCAACTTGCATGACATAGTGGTAAACCACCTCTTCAGTTCTGTTCTATAGCTCATTTTCTTTATGTTTAAGGGTTTGGTTTATAGATCTATTAGCATGGTACTGACCTGATGATCAACGAATTCAACTTCAAGATGTGAACTAATGTAGAAAATAGCAACTCAATGAGACCCGAAGAATAAGACAGAATACTTATTGAAAGGGCGTAAGTGAGTGAAGATAAGACGAGCTTAAAAATATGTGAAGGATGCTGTCTAGTCTGAACCAAACTGATGTGAACAAGAACGGAGACTTTGATGGAAGGAGTTGTGGCATGAAAGAAAGGTTAGAGTACATTCAAATCATTCAATGCTTGAAAGTTAGCAAGTTCGAGCCAGGCCTAATAAATGCAGATACGATAAAGATATAAAGCCTCAGGTTGTATAAATTTGGTGGATTGGCAGGTACCAGTTCAAATTTAATGGTTAATTTTTAGAATTGGGTGGCATAACCCAAAAAGTTATGCGGTATGTGTGTAAAGTTTCCTTAAACACCAATAAACTCATAGACTTTTTTCTTAACTGAAGAAGCATAAACATATATAAATCTAGAAACAACATAAGGTGGAAACTAATCCAAATTGGATCATACCTGTTGATTGTTGAGTGAACCCTGCTGTGAGAGCTGCTGCCTGATTTGGTTAGGAGTCAACCGAAGCTGCTGCTGCTGCTGGGCATAAAGAGCTCCATTAGCCCTCAGAGAGGCTAGATTGGACGGCCCCATCATCCCTTGCATTCCTTGCAGTGATTGTACACCAGAATTACCAGAAGAAAACTGTGAGGATTGCACCAACCCACTCTTCTGCCTCGGCTGCAACAAACACAAATTCCATCTCATAATCACATTCACAACAATGACAAATCACAAAATCTTGAATGCAATGTTTCAAATTACAACAACAAGCACAACAATTCAAAATCATATCTCATAAACTAACAATTTTTTCATAACAATTCATTCATAAATACCGAGGTTAATAGATTAAACTGTGCTGCTCCAGCACCAGACAACATTGGGAAGTGACCACTCTGTCCCATCAATGCGGATCGCGACAAGTTGGAAGCACTACCACCAATGCCAACACCAACACCAACACCTCCGCTTAATTGTTGTTGCTGAGCAGAAACAGCAACCGATCCACCAAAACTCATCTGCCCGCCATAAAGTCCGGCTTGCTGCCTCGCAATTTGCTGTTGTTGTTGCTGCTGCTGCTGCTGAGGTTGAATTTGATTAAGACGGGACATGGAAGGTGAACGTTGTAAATTTTGTTGAAGCTGAAAAGTGGAAACATTAGGGTTAGGGTTAGGGTTGATGCTGTTGATGTTAACTAACTGTGAATGTTGTTGTTGTTGATCTTGAGAGAGAGACGGTGATGAAGAATTCAAGTGAATTGAAGGAGATTGTTGTTGTTGTTGGGGGATTTGGGAAGGAGATGGAATTGTAGGGTTTGAAGAAGAGGGGTTTTGAATTTGGGGGTCCATAGTCAATGGTGGGGAACCGATTACGTTTTCCGCCATTGATTAGGATTTAGAAAACTGTGGTGTTTTTCGATGTTACTGTGCCGCCATTGATGAAGCTTCGTTGAATCGAAGGAAGAAGGTGAATCTGAATCGTAACTACGCGTCAATTCGTAGCTTTTTCAATTCAATCGTGAAAAGTGAAAGTGAAAAATGAAAATTCCTAATTTGATTGAATACTTATATATTAAAATATTTTATAATATATATTTAATTTATATTATTTATTTAAGAGTTTAAAAGACATATATAAAATAATTTTATACTATTGTTTAATAATAAACTAACAATTTATTATATTATTTAAAATAATTTTAAAATGTAAAGTAATTTGACAAAATATATTATATTTATTTATTGACAATATTAATGTATTTCTTATTTTCTCTTTTATTTAATTAAAATTATTAAATTAATTTTAATTTAAAAGGTATGATTTAGAGAAGACACTCTATGTTTAATAATAATCATGTTAAATATCAGTTTTTTTCTTAAGTTTGACTTCTATACAATCTAGTTCAAAGGTTATATAAGTTAAAGTTATGATTAATGGATGATATAAAAAGTTTTATATTAATGGTGTATGTTAATAAACCTCTTTTAAAAAAGTTTTTTTTTTATTTGAAAATAAACCAAGTCATTTATATAAATAGTTTTTCGTGTGCCTCTCAATTCTTTAAACTAATTTTTTTCTATGCAAATTTATAAAATTTAAGGGTCTTCGCATTCAAATCAAATTAGATAAAATTGGAAGGGAAAAAAAATCAACTTGTATAAAATCAATTTTATTTTAATTCGTTTCCACATACAATATAAAATATATTTCTAGTTAATCAATTATAGTTGTTTGTACTTTGTACACCCTATCATTATTATAAAGCAAATTTAATTTTTATATTTAATAATTAATATGTTTAACTTATATGTAAATTAAATATATTAATTATTAATTGTTAACTGTAATAAATAATTTAAATTTATTTATAATAATATTTAGAGGGTGTATATTTTAAAATTTGATTTTTCTTTTGATTAATTTAAAAGAGATACAAATGAAGGTTTATAATAGCTAGTATTTATAATAATTTTGTATCAAAATTAATCTCTTGTTTATATTTTTATTTATGAAAATCTCAAATTCAATTTCTATTAATTGACCAATACGCAGATTTTGGTCAAACACATGAAAAATATTTGTGATAATTTTTATTTTTGGTCTCAATAAATTAGGGTCATGCTAACGAATGTTCCAGAGATATTTTTTAAGAATTTTAAATAAAGAAAATATTGCATTGAATTCAAATCTTTCAAAGAAAAGTATATCTTTTATTTTTTTTAATTAATTATTTTAATTTCCAATACATTAAATACAAGTATTTTCAAATGAGAACATACATTTTTAAACTTTTAACAAGCACTCTGACACTCGTTAGCATTTTCCATAAAATTATAATACGTAGTTCATTTTTCTTTTTGATAAATATAGTCATTATTGTTAATTCGGACTATTATCAATTAATAAGCATTTTGAACTACTTTCAATTGAAAATAATGTTGTCATAAAAAAATTACCCTTTTCATATTTCCTGAACAACATGAGTGGGTATTAACTTCAAATTGTTGAAATTTTTCTTTATAAATCATAACTTCATATCTAAGTTGATAGCACTTACCGCACTTTGCATTACGTCATCTTAACATTTTAATGTGGGATGAATCATTTTGGCAAAGTACTCACAAGAAAAGTACTTTTGTATTTAGATTTCCCTTTGATTCAGTTGTTTGGAGTACTTCAAACTTCATAATGTTTGACTAGTAGATCAACTTTAATCACTTGATATTGTCTCATAAGACTTTATTTCTCTCGGATCTATAATGTGACCTTATATGTTTAACATGTTTAATAGATTTTAATGATGACAAAGGAATATATAATCTTATAAACATCATTAAATGAAGAAGAAAAACTAAAGTAATCAATAAGCGAGAAGGTTATATTTGGCACAGAAGTATTAAATGCTAAGAAGGTTATATTTGCCACAAAAGTATTGAATACTAAGAACAACATCAATGCTAAGATGTTTATAAAAAAAAAGTGACCATGTAATTGTTAGACTACGGCAACTCATTTAGAGGGTTATTTAAAATTAACATTTCAAAGTGGTTACTTAAAAACTTATTTGAAATACAATGTTGAGCGGAAGGTTTATTAGCCTATATCAAAATAGTAGTCTAAACGAACCTAGTTATTGAAAACTCGAATATGCATAAGTCATATGGAATTAAGATAATGATAAAATCAATCAACATAATAATATCTCAATTAATAGTTTAATATCAAACACACCTGTTTCATATTTCCAATGAAATCATATTAAAAATATAACTGGACATTTTATCGAACATGTTGCGTGCAATCAATTTTTCAAAATTTTCTCTGAGCTTAGTTGATATGAAAAAGCACTTACAATCAAAGTGATTATAAGCTAATCAACAAACCAATTTAAACTTTAACAATCAAAGAAAAATTTTATACGAATTGATCAATCAAACAACACATTCAACAAATTACACATAAAAAGTAAATGAGAGTAAGTGATAGAATATTGCAATTTTCCTTTGAGTTGAACAAGCTAAACAAGTTGTCAAATACTTGGTGTGCAAGTGACTTTTAAGATTTTTTTTCTTTAAGTTGTGTTGATACACAAAAGCATTTATAATCAAAAGTGATTGTGAGCAATATCAACACTTGATGTAAATCAAAAAATAGTTCGGAAAATTACTTACAACTCAATTGATAACGCAATGTTATTTGACAAATTTATTGAAGAATATTAAAGCAAGTAAAAGCGATAAAAGAAAAGAGACACAAGGATTTATCTACACAGTTCCCCACTTTCGTCCTCGCATGTGGATACATTTGCACCCAATTCCAATGTAGAATTAGGATACTTTCTTACTTTTCAAAAGTATGAATACAAGATAAGTGTTCAAGAGAAACCCTACAAATTATAACTATTTGATATTGATTCAACCCCTTATCTTCATTTGATCTTCAACAAGACCAAGAAACAATAGATGCAAATTGACTATCTGGATCTTGCTACTCCTTTGCATTATTTATTTCCAAAGCTTTCGCGCACCGTCAATTTTTAACTATTGCAATACAAGACGTCAATTGTAATTCGCCGTTCTCTCGCTACTTCCTTTGTATTTTTTATCTCCAAAGGATCCCTTGCATTCTTTATCTCCAAAGGAATTCACTTGGCTGCAATTACCTCTTGAACGTCTTGCACGAAAACCCCTAAATCAACCAATGATCTTGGGGGATAAACCAGTGGTTTTTCTCGAATGAAGACCTCTACAAAGCTCAACCCAATACCTAATTGGACACTATCAATCCTCTTCTAGATGGCACCCAATAGAACATCATCACAATGTAATGTCAGTGTGTATGCATAGGTTGGAGGTTGAATATGAAGAGAAATGTATGCTAATTTTATGGTATCACTATGTTATGAATGATGCATGAATCATATATTTATAGTTGGACTTTTTAAAGGTAAAATGGGGTAGTTTAAGAATGAAAAAAAAACCACAAAACAGTATGTGTCGACCTAAAAAAGTTATGTGTCGACACATACAAAACAATAGCTACAGGCTTTAAAAATACAGTACATGTGTCGACCTGAAAATCGTATGTGTTGACACATATGTCTGTGTTTTAAAGTATAAATGTTAAAGGCTTTAATAATGCAGTACATGTGTCGACTTATAAATCGTATGTGTCAAAACATACTGAAGCTTTTAAGAAAATGCAAAAATGTTGAATTTATGTATCGACGCATACAAATTCCAGGTCGACACATAAATGTTGATTTTATGCAAAAAGTAGTTTTTCATGATTGTGACCAATTTTAAAGTTGTTTTAAATGATTCCTAAGATCTCTAATGCAAGGGAGTGCCACGAGACATAAGGATACCGTCTACAATATTGAAATGCTAGTTTTTTGAGTTTTGACATCATGCAAAACATCTAATAGTGTAGTTGCACTCACAATAATCTTATTCTTAAGTTATCTTTTTCTTATAAGATCAAACATAAAATTAAGTGTATGCTCTCAAAGTGCTGAAATATTCTCACACCCACACACACACACACATACGCATACACACGCACGTGCATGCACACACACACACACACGCGCACACACACACTTAAAACATGCTTTCAAATTTTCATTTTTTAAAACTTATTAAGTTAGGCCAACCTTTTTAAAATTGAAGATTAATTGATTATTAAGCTTGGTTACTCCATTATGAAGCGAAAATTCGCCCTCTAGTCGATTAGACACATGTCTAATTGATTTTGTGGTGAACTCTTTTAAGAATGAATCAAGGAAATCTTTTAAATGATTATGGTCCAAGATCCAACAATATTTCATATTTTTCTAAGCCACAATTGATTAGGGTTACAGCCTAATCTACTATGATGTGGATCCGACCCAATATTGTTTCCTTTTTTGGCCAATTTTGTTACTATAATAAGAGAACTTGTGTTCATTTGAAAAACACAGGCAATATGAAATAAACTCTCTTATATTCATTCACATGTTCTTCTAAAATTTTCATAATCACTTAAGTGTATTTTTAGTGGTGAGAGAGCAAATACTTGAGTAGATTTATCTTGTGTAAAACTTTATTGAAAAGTAATTGTAATCAAGATATGGTTGTTTTCTTGACTCAAATATTTTTATATAAAGGTTGCAAGCTTAACCCGAGATAAAATTTTGGTGTAAGAAAGTTATTGATCGATTGTGTTATAAAATCTCTGTGATAATGGAAATCTCAAGTGTCATTATGTGGGTTCGGATGTACGCCTCGTAGTTTTGGGATGAAACAAGATAAAATATAGTGTGTTCTTCTCTAATAACTTATCATGTCTATATGCTTATTGGAAAGAAAAAATGAAAACTTTCATTGAAGGGGTAGATTATAAT